CCTCCAGGACTGGGATTAAAAAGAACGCAGAGACCTTATTCTTCAGCCCTTATTTGCTAAATTTTTAGCCCACAGCTAAAGCACAATTGCTTGTGGTCTGTTTGTAACCAACTGAATGCAGATCCACCAGCTCCACAGCTRTGTGCTTATATTTCTCCTTAGACCTCCGAGCAGGGATGGGATTCAGGGCTGGGAAGATGCTCTCTATAGGTGCAGACACCTTCGAACCAAGCAAGGGATGCCACCTTTACCCTCTGCACAGCACCACCACCCGGGACTGCCTCCAGGCCATCCTGTGCAAACTGTTGGTACACGAGCAGGTGCGGGAATGAGGCGTGCCGGTCGCTCCCAAAGAAAACCGGAGCAAGTGTCATCGCATTAAATGCCCAGCTACCTCTGAACATGCTCAGCACCAACTATGCTAATTGAGACCAAGTCGTCTCGGGCACACAAGGTCTGGGTATAATTTATAGCTGGACCTTTTGTTTGGGAGGGTGGAGAACACCAGCAGAAATCACGGAGTTAGGAGCGGTCCCATCAGATAGAGGCAGCCAGGATGGGTTCCAACAGCTGCCGAGGAATTACACAGCRCCAGCAGACAGCACGCTTGTTTTGATCTCGCTGTGTATATGTATTTGGCAAATAAAAATTCAGACCCGGGATCTGCAGCAGTACTTGCACGTTTCATGCCATCCTGCTGCCTCGGGCGCTAGCACGGGGATGCTATCAGATCAGCAGCTATGCARAGAATGCTGCTCTCTTATCAGGGTTAAAAGGGTCAGATCAAATTAAGTGGTTCTCACTGAATTACTGCRAGGGGAAATAGTTTTTCCTTTCTCAGACTAGCTCTTTAACATGGCGCCTGAGCTCTTTCCTCTAGCACAATAGCTGTTTCCAATCCATGACACCAAAATTGGAGGAAAGCACCGTGCTGGGCACCAGGACCCTAGAAAGGTTTGCTCCAGCTCTGAGCTGAGCTTTGTCTCTTCCGTCCCTACTGCCACAGGGCTCGGAGGCCTTTAGAGTAATCTCTGCGCTCCAGGGAAGAGAAACAGGACTTGTGGTTCAGGTGCTAGGGGAGCAATGCAGATCCAGTGTTATTCTGTGCTGTATGTCTAGTATCAGCAGCTGACCCAAGTGTGAAAAGAGACAGACTCCAACATTTCCATGCTCTAACRTGCAAGAGGCCAATCCGACCACATGAACATGAGCAGGACTAACAGAGAACCGCTGAAATAGAGGAGTGCAGCAGCCTTGGAGCAGGAGGCTGCCAAAACTCACCCTTATGTTGCTTGAACATTTCTCTACTGCAAGCACAGGCCAGCAACAGGCACCTAGGATAWACGTCAGTGCTCTTACAGCCTCTGAAGAGAGCAGACTGAGAACGCAGCTTCAAATGCCCATATCATCCTCTAAACAGGGCTTTAGCAAACGCTCAATTCATACATGAGGGAGCTAAGCCAGGCCCAGTAAGCAACGTGGCCAGCGGTGCCAGTTTTGACCAATAAGGATGGGAGCTCTCAGTGCCAGCACCTGAAATTGGTGCAAGTCRGAAGGTCAGGAGCCATGAAGGAGACCCAAGCTCTTTTATCAATCTTTGGACCTTTTACTTTTCTCTTTTTATTCCCCCTTGCCTTAAAGTCTTCTTTTATGAAGCTTTTGAGATTCTCCATAAATGCTCACCTTACAATAAACCTGAGGGCGTCCCTTTCTTGAGTGCAGACTGTCAACTTATGGTGTGCCATCCCACCTCTCCTCTGCTCTGGTTGTTTCCATTAACTTTCACACAAATGATTCATTTTGTCCAGGCTTTTGTAAACAGAATTTGAAGCCAGCTGGAATTTGTTGTGTGTCTAGATTATACTTGCTCAGCAAGCTATTCCACAGAAGGGATTCATTTCATTTTTTGTCTGTGGTGGGGACAGAGTAACGCACATCTTCCGTGAAATGAAAGCAAATCCGCTGCTGAAATAAAGCAGATTTTAGATAGCAAGTTTAACATCTAAACCTCATGGCTATTAAGACATGAAAGTAACACTGAAGGAGGAAGAGAAGGAAGAAACTCATTGGATTCCTTAATTGCAGCCCAGGGCCTAATGTCACTGCTGAAGAGTACAAAGTGGGATGGGGGAAGGAAGGAACGTTCTCTTGGAAGGTGAGGAATGAAATGTCTCAAGCTAAACTGCAAAGCTTGCGGGGTCTGGATGTATGTGATAAGAGGCTGACCTGGTTACGCCCCACAAGGCTCCAGGCGTCCCCTTGCTGACGAGGAATTAACAGACACGTTGGGAAAGCACCAACACTCACCTGTCAACAGCAGCAAAGGCCAGAGGGGGAGGCTTAAAAGAGTAAATCTGAAATGCCTTAAGCCAAAATATTAAAGTGGGACAGGGCTTGGCATGAAACCACAAATTCTTGAGGCTGACAGGCAGTTGCCACAACCTCCCGCTAAGGCTGCAGTGTGACAAGCATTCCCCTCGGTGGCAGGACCCATTCATCCACATCTTCTTTCCTCTTCTCGAACTCCACCGCTGCAGCAGCGGAGGGCACCCAGTGGGGAGTCACGGGAATGCTGCACTAACCTACTGCAAGACCTCAGGGAAGTCAGCGGCTCTTTCTATAAAATGGAGCTGGTAAATAAAAATTAAATGGAACAATCTTTCCTCACAAACGTGTCTTTGTAAAAGGAGCAGACTCATGCATAGAATATGATGGGCTGGAGGCAAACTTCACTATCCCTAAATATAAGCAAAAGTCCAGGTAATACCACACACACCACTAGTTATGACTAGGTAAGTGAAAGGAAAGGTGCAGAGGAGTTCAGTCATTTTATCTTTTCCTCTGTAATAAAGAACCGAAGGCAGAGGCATTTCACTAGCACAGCACAGACTGAAAAAGCCAAAGACTCCATGAGCTGGCTTGCTAAGAGATGCTCTTAGATGCTGGAGGGGGAGGAGAAAAACACACAGCAAAAGCTCCTTCCTGCAGAAGGAAAAGATATTTCCTTCAGATTTAGTTATAAGCAGCTTTAAAGCAGAGTTTAAAACTTTGATTACAAAATATATATGCTTAACACATACAGTTATACCTCACTGCTTGCCATGTAAGCCAACACTGTTTTTTCCTGACCAGGATTAAGCTCCTTTCTATCCAAAGTGCAGCTCAGCTCACACGCACAGTTGAACAGGCCAGCTAGAAAAGCCAGGGAAGCCGATTCCCAATAGTCTCCGCCACAACAAAATTAACCTGACCGCCTCTCCTAACGCAACACACAGCACAAAATGCCTCTCTAGATCGGAGGGGAGGCAGCCTGAACAGAACCATGCAAGTCATTACACCTCGGGAACAGTGCAATACCCCAATGTAGGACACCTGTACAACAGGGCTGGACCATTCAAAGAAAACTTGAACCCTCTGCAGATGCTTCTTTTCATCTCCACACTCTGCAAGTGACTTGACTGCTGCAAGATGGCACTCCAAGCATGGAAAGGAGAGCCAGCACACCAAGTGCTCGAGATGTCTTTGCTTGCGAGAAGGTGACAATGACCTGGCTCTCCAGGCGTGTACAGGATGAGAGGACCAGAACAAATCATCCTGGAGAAGTGATGGGATCAGGAAACACATGGCTGAAGTGCAGCACACTACGGTGTACTGCCCACATAGCCACTGAGAGGTGAAAATTCAGAGAGATCTTGGGGCAGGTCAAAGTGCACCAGTACCCCCAACCTACCTGTGGGTCAGGAAAAGCAGCCACGTCTGTTCAGCACCACAGGAGCTGCTCCCCTGGGCTAGCCAAGTCCTGGGGAGGCAGCTGCGAGGCCCGCGGCCGGTCTGCTCCTGCATATGTAGCCCCTGCTCCCACGTAGGGACTGGCCTCAGTGGAGGCGCCGCTCCAGGACTAGGCTCAGACCAGCACCAAGACCAGCAGGGTGCCTGGAGAGGCACTGTTCCTTAGGAGCAGCCTTGGGGCAGCAGGAGRTGGGGGGCAAGTGCCCAGGGGCACACGCACCTCTCCAAGGTGCACGGAGGACAGTGGCTAAATCCTTATCCAGATTAGGCCCCAAGGCCAGAAAGCTTCAGACTCACCACACTCRTTCTCCAGGTCCGCACAGGTCCAAGGAACAGCGACGGCCCCGGATCCAGGCACTTGCTCACATCCATGCGTGCACCTGCCGCGTTAGTGCRGCAGAGCACCAAAGCAGAGGGAAAAAGCCCTTTTGTGACTAAGGAAACTCTAAAGCCATAAAAGAAGGAAACACAGGGCTAGGAGATCAGTGAGAAGCACCACAATTTTTTTCCCCTTCTGTTCATTTATCGTGGTACCTAACTGGGCCCCTTGGGCACTTGTTAAAGGAGTCTCTTCACAATAGATTTGATATGGGAAGGGGCACTGGCTAGACACTGGCTTAATTCAAAAGCATTGCCCTGAATACTGGAATGCCTGGCAGCACTTTTATTCGGTGATTGAAGTATTTAGCCCCTTACTGGAAATGCAGAATTACTGCAGACTAAATCTGGACAGCACTGTTTGAACCAAAGCCAAGGTGCCTCATTTGTGTGACTAACTAATACCAAATGAATCATTTCTTTAAAAAGCACTCTAACYTGGATTTCAGGGACTTGCAAAAATAATGATTACTTGCTTTGTCTTTTATGCATAAAAAATATTTTGAGCTATGGCTTCCTTCTGAGGGAGAAATTTTGAGTATAAGCAGCGGCAATTACTATGAAATTTTTAGTTTAAAGCATRGATATTTCAATTGAGCTCACACTTATTTCCTTCTCCCAGCAAGCTTTTCTTTATGCTTGCCCGCTTTGATCTCATGTCCACTGTGAGGCTTCRAGAACAAAAGAACACATCTCTCTAAGCAGGTGCATTCTTCTAAAGAAACTAAAACAACACCATGCATCACAGAGCAATAAATTAACTCTGTGGGAGCCAGAAGGATACAGGTTTAWTCTCTCTTGATTTAAGAGGACAGCAACAACACAGTATAATATTACATAACACAACCTTGACGAAAAGGAAGTTCAGCATGGGCTTTAAGTTTGCCCCTGCAATGCCAGATCACAAATACATCACTAATACTACCTAATATTCATAGGAAGAGCACCTTGAATTCATCAGGGAGGAATAAACTCAATGAAGAGACTTGCTTTGAGTCTATTCTTTTATTCGGTAGCTGGAAAATGAATTACCCAGCATTTTTTCTGTTCTATACAGAAGTGATGCAGAGCTGGCACATGGAGCTCGGCTGCTTCTTCACCCGGGTCCTGCTGCCGGTCACTGTCGGCGCTTCGGAGCGAGGCAGATTTCACTTCATTTCAGCCAGATCCACTTGTCACCAGCATCAGCATTGTAGCCTTTCTTAAAATTGCGACCAGGAAGCTAGAGAAAGCAGAAAGTTCAGTCAGAAACGTTTTTCTCTTCACTGTTTACTGAACTTTTGGATTCTCTATAAAGAGAAACCGTGGTACCTGCAAGAGCCCAGTTTGAAACACTGTATTTTTTTTGGGGGGGGGGAAGAATAAACGTCAGTACTTAAATTCAGTTCCTTTTGGGAAAAAAATAAAAAGTTGAACTGCAGAGCTGGTGGGAAAACCCACAAAATACACTATACTACTTAAATACTTGGCCAATATCTCACCAACGCACCAGCATCTTACATCTGGATTCACACAGTTCTACTCTTTTATTCCCTTGTTCYTCCTTTTAGCAAGAGATAGGCCCTAAGAGATTTCACCACAGCACAGGAATCAGCGAGTAGAGCCTCACGCCAAAATAGGCACACATTATTAAACACATGAAATATTTCATGCATGAAATACTGAGTTAATTATTACATTAAATTAAACCGATCAAATGAAATTGCATATTTAGCTTTCAAGAGCTGAACTTAACTTCATTAAAGCAGAAAGCAATAGCTGTCTGTCTTCACAAGCAAAGCCAGAAACCACTATTGACCAGGGAGATCAAAACAATGCTCGAGCCCCCTGCCCAAATTTCCCCCTCACCCCCAGAGCGGGGCTGCAGCCCCACATGCTGCCTCCGAACCCCACGGGCGTTTCAAGCAGCAGTTCTCCTGCACAGACCCTTCACGCTCCCRCAAGTTCACCTCTGCCCACGCAGCAGGGCAGGGTTAGGAGCTGGTGCACRGAGGCCTTTCCAGCAGGAACCTTCCTGTAGAGTCTTCGAGTTAGGGCTGGTTTCACCAGACGTCTCTCTGGAAGCACAAGAGGACCATGCAAGGGACAACTCAAGTCTAGGAAGCCAATGAAGAGGCTGCAGAGGGAAGGGATGGATGAAGGATGGACTGACTCACACGACCCCTCTCTTTCACAGCCTGCATGAAGGCTGGGACCTGCTCCTCCAGGAGCACCAGGCTGCAGCAGGGCAGCTGCAGAAGACTCTGCCTCACCTCGGGCTGGCCACCAGTGCTGCCATCTAAGTCGTCTTACCAACTTGTTTCACAAAAGCAACACCGTTTGTCAATGCAGTTTCAGCCTCAACAAACCTAAGCCATGCTCTGCCCCAGTGGGTAACAAAGCCAAAACCTCTAAACTACAGAATAAGGACACRGAACAGGTATTTTGGCAACTATTTTCAACTGAGTCATGTTGAGGAAACGGATGGAGAGGCATTTCAATATTTTCCTCTTTAGAAAGTATTGATGATGACCCAAAATACTAAAAAGTCTTTAGGATACTGTCTCAAGAAACAGCATGGTTCTTCATAAGCAAATGACAGAAAAAGACAGTATTTATTTTCAAGATATAACACTGGCATCCAAAAGCAAATGAAGGTTGTGAGAAAGTCTGAAGATGCTATTATAGAACTTTTTAAAAAAATAAGCTATCATCTGAAAAACTATTTCAAATTATTAAAATTACAAATAATCAAAATTATTACAAATAATTGAACTCTAATCATCTACACACCTGCACAGAGGCAACGCTTGCCCCACGGAGCACCCTAAACTAGTCTATTCAAACCTCCATCGTTCTTAAGAGAGCTGCTTGGGTGAAAAGCAGCATGGTCAGGTCTCGATGTCTATTTAGGCCACAGAAATGGCTATTTACCCCAGAGTGAAGCCTGTTATTTTGTAATCTTAATTAAAAAAAGGCATTTCTTTACATAAGATACAAAGCCTACAAGAGTCTTCCWCCTCTTTCACAGCACACACAGCATCCTACCTTGTCAGGAGCCATTACAAGTCATTCCTGATCAGTTGTACTAAAGCTTTTCATTTAGAGTTGTCTTTAATGTCTTATCTAAATATCAGCAGAAACCATGCAGCCCCATGCAGAATTACTCCTGCTGAGCAAAGAGGAGMTGCGAGATGGAAATAAATGACTGCACTATCTCTGCCATACAGATCTGCAGCGGTGGGCTAAGGAAGACCTCAAACCTGCTGTGACCAGCCTGGATCCATTAGCTCTAGGACAAAAACAGCTTTCCTTGGTCTTCTCCAGGCAGCACGTAATTGTCCCTTTGATTCTCGAAGAGACTCCCAGTAAACCAGATTATTAAAGCGACAGAAGCTCCGTGGGAAAATGCAGGATTTCCAGCTCCATTTCTGGGTAAATTGCTCCCCTTTAAAASGCGCAGTATCAATCCCAACAGAATCCAAATTCACCGTCCAAAACAAATTCCCCATGTGCCTTTGGTTAAAGGCATCCAGTACATCAAAGCAATTTTTATAATAAGTATTCATCCCTACTCAATCAGTCACAGTGGGCCTTGGCAAAAGCACTGGAGTTTTGGGATGTGTTATGGGCAAGCTTCCAAAATAGCCAAATACTCATCGGGAAAGGCACTGCAAGCAAAGCCCACGCTGCCCTGCGAGCAGAACCAGGTGCATTTCTGCTCCCTGCAACTAGATCAGGTACGAGTAACAGACACGACTTCAGGGAAAGGGGCCTTCAAAGCCAACGTTTGCTACACTGTCCTAATGTAGGCACAATGTGGAATGAGGTGTGTGTATTCCAGAGGGGATGAAGTTGTTCTTTGGCACATATGGAGCATTTGGAAAAATACTGGAAAAAAAAAAAAAAAGAACGCACGAAATACCATCCCTTGAAGAGAACAGCAGTGCCCAACATGCCCAACCCTCTGCTCGCTCCGTGTTCCCTGTTTAATTTTGTATTGAAACAGCCAAATTAAAAGTCTGAAAATGCTGGTGCACGAGGTGGCTGAGCGCACCAAGCAGCTTGATGCCAACAGAAAGGAAAGGTCCTGCCGTATCTCCCAGCCACGCAGTCCAAACCAGCTCTGCAGCTTTCTGGATCCTTCTGTAAGATTAATCAACTTGATCATCACTCCGCGTGCAGGGAGAAGCCACTCACTCCTGCTGGCTGGGATAGTTCCCAGTGACTCAGGGAGCTCAGTCAGCCAAACACACCCCACAGAGCTGCAAAGAGACTGGGGGAATGAAGGGAGGATTCAGGGAGCCAGGCTGGACAGCAGCAAGGCTGCAAACACCCCAAACTTCATCCTTGGTTTAGGCCCAGCTGAAGTTCCCAGCCTGTTTTTCCCAGCGTTGCTCAGCTGGCACAAGGAAAGGGAGAGGAAGCAGGTGGAAGTCAAACGGAAGCACTGAGACCATCAGTGCTGTAGCCAGAAGAGGTCAACTGTTCACTCCAGAAAAGACATGACTAAAAGTTGAGACTGTCTCAAGGTGAGACTGAGCAAGTACTCAGAAGAAACCTTTCTCTTTGCCATAGGATTTCTGCATTAGAGCCTGTTTCACAGTCAGGACTGCAATGAAAGTCAGCAAGGCCACATCATTTGCAAGYGGTTTCCACATTCACAGAACTGCTCCATGCTCATTAGCTTTAAAACAGACTTGAGAAAGACCAAAGAAGAGGTGCAGCTCAATGGCCACGTTAATAACAATAATAAAGCATCTTATGATGCATGATTAATTGTTAACCACAACACATTTTTCCACCAGGGAGCAAGGCGAGTGARCGCAGAATCAAACACTGGCTCTAACAAATCCCTTCAAACCTTGGGGCTTTCACTGACACTGGTCACCACAGACCTAAGGATCATACCAACAGGTTTCCCCAACAGCAAGTAACAGTGAATGCACAAAACTGTGATTGCACAAAGCTGGAATTATGTTTGCCTTTGAAGCAGAACTGGTCAAGCCAAAAGCTGCAGAGATTCAACTGAATGGACCCAAAGAGGTCACCCCTCTCCCTGCAGCCAGGGTCAAGCTCCTGCAAGGCCTGACAAGGAAGGTTTTCCCCACTCCGGGGAAACAGATGTGACTGAGATTGGAATCTGTCTGCTGTGCTGCCCTGGAGAGAGCCTAAAGGGGCCCTGAGGAGCAGCTCAAGCTGCGGGCCACGAGAACAACCTCACAGGGAATGGTCCTAACAACATGAGCCTCACCCTGCAAAGGTAGAGCTGCCCAACCTTAGGAGAGCATCGATAAAGAGATGAACACAAAATCATGCCAGCAGTTTCTATAAGAACTCTGCCACAGAAATGTCTCTCAAAACTATTAACATTATTTAAAAAAAAACAAAAGCTGTAAAACAATATATGCTGCAGATAACAAAAAGCAGCTTTATCCACCCATTTGCTCTGCAATGCAGCTGAGATCCTTAAAAAAAAAAAAATCAAAACTAGCCCCACCTATAGTCATATAGGTAGAGCTTTGGAGAATTTTGACTATCCAAAAAGGTCTACATCTGTCAGTGTTTAGGCCAAACACTGTCCAAGATTTCCAGAGCAAAAAGAGTTATTATTCTTTTTCCCCGCAATTTCTGTGTTACTTTCCACTAATGGCTGCGCTTAACAGATAATCTAGAGCTAAAAATAGCACATTTTGAGCAGTGCTGATCAAAGAGCACTTAAAAACAGAGACATTACTCTACAAAGCACGGGCTCATTCATCAACACACAAATCCTTTCTTTTCCTGACTCTTCATAATAAGTATAATAATAGCACCTACCACCACCGCTATTAGAGAAGATTRCTGCTATTTCCTGCAGAAATCCTGCCTTAAAGTAGTTTAATGTCAACGTTAATTGCTGGCACATAGCTAAAAAAATTAAGAGACTCTAACAAGAGGTAACTTCATATATTAGTTRCATTCTGGAAATGTTGGGTTATTATGTTCCAGAGCAACAGGGGGGTGARGAGAGGAAGGAAAAAGAAGGGAAGGGAGGTGATACCTCCTTCCAAACACATCTACATTCAAGGTGTCTGTGGGTTTGGTTTTCCAAGGAGTTGCACAGATAAATGCTCATTTACAGCTCTATTGCTGCCACTCTTTACTGCAACAAAATTCTTAATGAGCTTAACATCCATTATAGTCCAAGTACCCAAACTGAYATTAGAATATTCTGATATTTGAATATCTGAATTTGAGGTT